AGGCCATTTATCAATATTATGCAAAATCATGATAAAAGATAAAACAGAAGCATTCAAGTTTTTAACAACTTTACCTAGCAGAACTGAATCATGAAAAATAACCTACAGTTAGGCCTTACTCAGGTCTACCTTCCCACAATTAGCCCATGTTCCTCAAATCATCCTGACATAAAGGAACCAAAAGATTGAGTAAAAGCCTTCAATAAATATCACAAACACTTGGAGTGTAGTCAACCACTGCTATCCTCAGAAGAGAAAAACAATGCCAAGGGTGATGAGATGAGATGACATGTAATGTCAATTAAAGGTAATTAAGACATTTAAATATAGGAACAACTATGATGAACCCATGAAGAATATATCAACCTACAAACAATATAAAATAGCATTGCATTATTAACAAGCCACTTATAAATAAAGTTGAAAGCCTATCATGCACTTATCTCTGTGGATGATATAAGAGATAATGACCTTCCCTTGGTCTCAAAAAGCAATTCTGCTAAAATTCTCCTTTTGCTCTAAAATGCAAATTTCACGAGAAATGACAAAACACATTCTTTGCTCAAAAGCTGTACATGAAGGCTATTTAGATGTGACTTCACAAACACAACTTACACATATTAACTGTAGCTGGGTATGTGTTATCTGGCAGACAGCCGTGACAGAATAATATGTGAGGCTAAAATAAGTTGAACTCAAACAAAACATATGTACAAAAGAAAATAGTTTTAACAGATGTCTCACTATTAGAGTTTCATGTGCCATATTTTGGTAGATGATGATTTGAATTGCTCTTCCACACCAATGCAAAGGCCTCAGTTTAACAGTAGAAATTGGAAAGAAACTTTGATCAATAAACTGTCCACTTATAGGAAGATGGTGCCATATATGCAAGTGAGTTCCACTGGGACAGATTACCTGATGGAACACATTTGCTTCATCAATGAGAAGCACTGCCTGCCAGTCACTGTGTCTTTAAAACACTAAGCCCTAAACAAGGAGGCTCATTATCTTACTCAAGAAGGCTGCTATTTCTGGATCAGGATCCATAATAACATTTTGCATGAGGCAGGGGAAGGATAGAAAATACATGTTCACACAACCTAGATGGTTTGGCTAACAAACAAGTAGGCTGCAAATTCTTGAAGAAACGTGTTGAGTTACAAATTCTCTCTCCAAGGGAAATCCAGTGAAAGCTGAACATTTTGAGAAAGAACACTGAGCCCTGACTTCACAGCTGTTAGAAATGGTTGCCATTTTAAAGGCTAGAAATTATATACAGTTAGGCAACCAGTCAAAAATAACTAAGCACAGGAAGAATTTCCTAACATTGAGGGTCTTTCCTCAAAGAAATTGGTCACTGATATAAATGATACAGAATTTTATTTTATTTTTATTTTATTCAGAAGCATTTAAAAACCGATTGGGTTTTCATTGGTTTTGTATAAGAAGAAAGTAGGTGATGAAGGTGACAGTAGGTGAAGAGCTATATAAAATATGCACCTTAGACTCATTATGGTTCTATGAAACCCTGATTCCATGTCTCCTCCAAAATATCTATTAATATTAATCACATTGCAATATTAATCATATTGCAAAACATTATCGCATCCTAAAACTGTCTTTGTTTTTCCATACCTAAATGTTATCTGTGGCTGTCTATATTAGTTTAATCGCTAATTTGCTTTTTATTCTTCCTTCTCATTATTTTGTATGTCTACTTTTTCTGGGAATTTGAGAATAAATTCAGCATTGACAGTTCATGGTGAAATATTTTTGCAATTTGTATTTTTTTTAACAGTGGGTGAATAATTTTGTTTGGCTCCTAAAAATGTTATCAGTTGACTTCTTTCAACATTCAGTAGGCTCAGACTTTCAGGAAGTTAATCATGGATCAGATCATTCTAGGCCATTTTATAGAAGAGGCCTAAGATGTTATCATGTAAAAGCACATTGCTTTGATCTGCACACCTGCTGACTTTGTGAATTTATAACATGTTTATAAGCATCTAATAATGAAATGAATAAGGCACCTTAGAGATAGTTTCCTTTCTAAATTAATATTTTCACAAGAAGAGTGAGCATGTGATTCTTGTGACATCATTAAAGAGAAGCTGATACTCACTTCAAACAAAAAGGAATAAAACCTGAATGCCTGAATTGGGATTGACATATATACACTGATGTGTATAAAATTGATGACTAATAAGGACCTACTGTATAAAAAAATAAATAAACTTAAATTTAAAAATTAAACAACAAAAAAAAGAAAAAAAATCTGAATGCCTTATATGATAGATGAGAACACTACTTCATATCAGAGGGATTTCAATTTTAAACAGATTTTGACAAACCAAAATGCTTCAAGTTTTTAACTTGGTAATTCTTTCAATAAATGCCATTGATAAAAGGAAAGAAAGTGATTAAATTTATAACAGGCTTCTATTTTTCTCTGTCTTTTTAATGTTTTAAAAATTAAACAAATAAGAGAAAAATAACCTACATTTTTTAAACATATGTGAAATACACTAAAGAATGAAGTCCAAATTGTAGACATTTCATTGCTCTCTAACATACACTGTATGTGCAGCAGTAGTTAGCTGACTCTGCATTTTATGTCAACGATCTGGCACCATGTCTTTCCCCAATGTGTCCCATATGTTACATAAAGTTCAGAGCATGTATAAAAACGTGTACATAGGCATATGTATGTGTGTGTTTCTGGGAGGGGAGGAAACAAACAATAGCCTTCATAATTTTAATAAAAGCCGCTATTTAGAACATATGAAACTCTACTGTTTTTATAGAAGCTTAAATGGCTTTAGTGAGCCTTTATAAAATGTGTCCTGCCTCATGGCCTTTAAATCTGACAGCAGCTGGCGATATACATTTTCTGGGTGATGGTCCATGTTGATGCAGCTGTTGCCATAGTAACACTGGCTGGAGCATCTACTTCAGGTTCAACTAGTTGAGCATGGCTCTTTCCCTTAAATGAGTACCAATGACCTATGACTTTTAATAATGAGTACCTACCATCTAGATTGCCAGTGAAAATAAAATCTAATTTAAACTCTGTAAAAGTTTGGGAGAGAAGATAATTTTCAACTGCACAAATAGTGAACTCATATCCATCCATCCGAAGGCATAGTTCTAAAAATGACTAGTGTTTCAGAAAATTGAGGGCTTGTTCTCCAAAGGAAGGAATTCTGCATTGGAAAACATACATCTGTCTACAGTATAACTACAATAAGTCTCTGATGTACTTTCACTGATTTCATTTGGCTGTGGGTGAGTTCTCGTCCATCTGCACTTCTGTACTCTTCTTATCAAAACCTGAAAAACTTCTTAGGTTGTAGCATGGTTAGAAGTTTCTTTATTGATAGGACAATATTAGATGTTCAGCAATCAGTATTAAAGGGGAGTTAGGGTTTCTATCAGCCTTATTAAGTTACCTATTCTATTTTATAAAAACTAAAATGATAAAATTTGTTATTATATAATTTTTTCACATCCATCTTTCAACATTTAAAAAAAAACACTTCCCATTTGAAGCATAAGCTTACATGTACCTGACTTCTTAGAGTTTTGTGTTTTTTCAACTTTCCAATGTGAATTACTTTACTCCACATTTAAACATAAATTGAAATAGAAGAACAGCATCTTCATTTTTTCCTTTCCTTTAGAGGGAAGAGAGACAAAGCAACTTATGTATGTTTGAATTTAGAAACTTAAAGGACATCTCTCCTTTTTGATGGTGGTTATGTAACTTTTGCCTTAAGAACAGACATCCTTTATTTTCTGTCTATGGAAATACATTATCTTGGTTTTTAAACTTTCTTGCATGCCCTCTGAATGTTATGTATGCATGTCAGTTACAAAAATATCTTTATATATTTAAAAAGTCATGTTGGAAATTTATTAAGGAGAAAGGAAAAATAAGTTAAAAAAAAAGGAAGCAAACCAACAAGATAGCTAACTATGGTGTAATCTAATTCTACTTGCTCTCCAAATGACCTTGGTTGAATTCCAATCCTTTTCTAATCCAGTCACTCCAAATTGGATCCACTTGTCTTTCTTATTAATGACTGAATCTTTCTTGCCACTATGAACTTTGCTTACTTCAACCATAGGGAATACAACCGGCATCTAAGCCCAGTGACAGCACTCAGCCTTCTGTTACAAACACTATGCATTTTAATTTATGAAGATGATACAGCATGTTTATCATATCTCCATAATTATAAAAATAGAAAATTAACTAATGTCTGAGAAACAACTTCTTTCTTAAGTAAAGCGAATTTATTATACATTTCACAGACATGGGCCTGAGTATAGAGCCTGTTTGCACTAGATGCTCCCCTGCTGTCCTGGAAGCAGACAAGAACCAAACCAGTTTCCTCTCTCTTCTCCTTCCCCAAATAATTTTGCTTTGGGGGTCACACAGAGAAAACCTGGAAGTCAGCTGTTAAGGGGAGGCTGAATGGGTGGAATGATGGGCCCAGCGCCCCAGTGCAGTTCTCAATTTTACATTTTACATAATCTATTGAATTTCTGTACAATATATTCTTTGAAGAAAAAGCATGGTTCTTTAAAAAATTTAAAAATTTGGAAACCACATTAGATGATTCCTTTCCAAATGCTACTATGAGTTCATAACAATCTATCCGTTTACACTAGGCTGAGATCCAAAAATGGCTGCATTTGGATAATTTGGAATTAATAAAATGAGTAACAATGTCAGTTGCGATGTTGGTCCCTCTGACCTCAAATGCATGACAACATAAGGGCTAGATACGCCCTCATAAATTATCAGCTGATATTAATGAGGTAGTTATAGTAATAAGTATATAATCATGGCCCTGATCACATAAGATCAGGGTATAAATAAGATACCCTATGTATATTATTATATGTCATAAAACAATGTCTAGATAGTTCATAAAGAGCTTTAACAGTTGATGTTAATGAACTAAATAGAATTTGTGGGATTTCATAAGTACCCTCGTGTTGGAATATTCATGTGTCTTGCAGACTTAACGACCTCCTCAAACTTCTCCATACTTTCTTCAATAGCACAGTTAATATTCTTCTTGCTAAAGGGTTCAGAGGCAGCACCAAAAACGGAGATCTCAGTGGCTCCAGCAGCAACCTGAAAAATACAAATCAAAGGCCAAAGCTAGTAATTCCAAAAACATAAACAAGAGCAGCAGAAGCAATGTTAACTACTCTATAAAAGAATACTTGAATTCTTTAACATTCTGCTTAAAATTTTAAATTAGATTTTTCTCAACTTGCTGCATACACACTTTTGAAATGTAAAAATATTTTATGATAGCACAATAATTCCACAAACTACAACACTCATAAATCACAGAATATACAATGATGCTGTTCCAATTTAATTTTGCCTTTCCTAAAAGTTATCCTCAGCAATATTTTAACCGTAATTATGGAAAATACTAGCACCACAATGAAATCTCTTGATATCTATGGAAAACTTTATTTTTACTTAATTATTAAAATTGAGGCTAGTAAATGCTTTCTGTTTTTCTTCTCTTCTTACCATCCAACAGAAAAATATTTTTCCAAGTCATCATTTAGATTTTGCTCCAAATTTTCTCCCTATCTCTTAACCTCACTTCCACTGTTTCATACCTTGACTGTGACAACCAAACTCTTGCGTGTCTTAAGACCTTAATCCTCTTGCAAGTCTTCAAATCCAAAATGTCGACCTAATCAATTCTCCCTTTTGCCCCTTTGGCCATCTTCTCTCCTCCCTCCAGGCTTCCCAGTGCTTGTTTTCAACGTCAAGCCTCCTAGTTTTCCAGCTGGATTTTTAAGACTTTCTATTAATATATCTGTACCACTGTGCCTAGAGTCCCCTTTCTCTATGATACCCTATTAATACATTAAGAAAAAAATTCTGTCATCTCTCCTCCAACATTTTTTTAAAAATACTGGTTTCCACTCTTCCATCCAAGATAAATTTTTAACCTTTAAAATTAAAATTTTGTGGATAAACAAGTTCCTACTGTATAGCACAGGGAGCTATATTCAGTATCTTATGATAAACCATAATGGAAAAGAATATTAAAAAAGAACGTATATATATATATATATATATATATATATATATATATATATATCTGAATCACTTGGCTGTACAGCAAAAATTAACACAACATTGTAAATCAACTATACTTCACTTAAAATTTTTTTTTTAATTTAACTAAATTAAAGTACTATTTATTGAACACCTACTATATGCTGGTGTTGTATTTTGCATGCCCTATTTCTAATCCACAAACAATTTTGTAAATGAAGTATTATTATGGTGATTTTACAGATGAGAAAACTGTGGCTCAAAGAGGCTAAAACACTAAGAGGAGGTCCCAAGGCTAGTAAAAGTTCTGGGGCCATGTTTCAAACACAGGCTTGCCTGATTCCCAAGCCAAAGTTTCTCCTATTACTTTCTATGCTACCCTGAGGGTGTACTCTCATATCTTTCTCAGGATGGTTACATTCCCTACTTCTTTAGGACCGGATGACAGCAATATTTATAATTTCTTAAAATGTCTCTGTCTTTCTTTACAATGTGATAAAATTTGTATTAATTCAAATAAAAGTGGTTTCACAAGATACACTAATAGGTGATACACCAACTAGCGCCCACAATTTCAACTTCATGCAACCCAGTCACAAATACAAAAATGAAAAATATCCATTAATACCAAAAATAGCTGCTGCTCAACTTTTACAATAAAGCCATGTAAGCTTAACACCTCAAGCCTTTACTTAAAACTACACTGATTCTTCTAGTATGTGAAATTACGAAAGCTTCTCGGCATATAAATTCCCAAGGCACATAGGATTGGAAGAAACAAACCGGAAGACAAATAAGGAAAGTTGGTAGAGGCAATTCCAAAGACAGTGATTAGCAGCATGTAGAGGGCAGGAACAACAGCAACCTCAGAAAAAGTAACAAAAATAATTATCCACTACAATAATATTAATAATTATAATATCGTATTGGGAAATCTTTGTTATATTTTGTATTCCTTGCTTAAGTGGGGAGCACAAAATATACTTTCAAAAGAATTTCATCAAAATGGGTAATTGTATTTCTATGTTTTAATTCTTGAATGGTTAGACTGGAAGAGCCATCATGTGGAGCATTTTAGTCCCCAAAATGCCACAAGGTCACTGATCTCCATGTACCTGTATTACGGGTATTAGTGATAGTATTTATGCAGGATAACGAGGGAGTCATATCACACCAATTTAACTTCGAAAAGATCTTTACAACAAGAAGCATATCAGTTTTAGAAAGATTAGTAGCACACTTACAGCACGGTGGAAACCCTGAAGATTAGGAGTAAGGACAGGATATCGAATTCCTGGATATTGACGAATGCCCTTCATCACTTCAGTGTGATCTGCCATCTTAAATACATAATAGTTATATAGAGATATGGGACTTGGAATATTCTATCAATCATGTTTTTAGTTTTTCAGGAGGTTATAATAATACAGGCAATTATATTCTATCAATTCATGTTTGAAATAGCAAAACCATGCCAGATAAGTAGTTCTCAATGTCATAAATACATAATAACCAGATCTGGGTGTAACGTCCTCACATAACAGGATCTGTTTAAGTGACTGATTACAGACAGTCGGGAATTCTGAACTCCGGTGTTTTCACTTGACTGATCTTTATTCTCTTCCTTTCATTTTATGGTCAAGACTCCAATACCCCTGATAGTGGGAAGAGTTTGAAAGGCCATAGGCTGTGCATTTACCTTCCACATGAAAATTTTACGTCCAAATAATTTTTAACATATGAAATTTTACAATATTTAGTAAAGTGTAAATTACACATATCCATTAGAAGAATTTAACAAGTTTGAGACCTTAGTATATTATTGGTTTTAGTTAGTAACAGTCATACTGCTTTACGTAGTTCTATCCTTGAGTTACTATTTGTTCTTATAACGTGAACAAATAAATACAATGGAGCACACAGCAGGAAACTTATCCTACAAAGACTTCATTTTGTATATTTTCTATGAATTTATTAAAAAAAAGCCAACTTTGAATTAAAATATCAAATTTACCAGTTTGCTACGAAGTCTATAATTTAGCCTCCTAGAGCAATAACTGATGATCAAATCCCATAATCATCACATAGAGAAATTACCATTGACATAACCATGAGCTTTGCATATTGAAGAATAATAAATTATGGCATGAACAATAAATATAAGGAATAATATATAAACAATGAAAAGTATACAAAATGAACATGGAGAAAGCTGTAAAAACATGCACCAGACCAAACTTTGTATCTTCAGTATGGGAACGGTTGAGGGAAGACTTGTTTTTTCTCTATATACCTTGACTTGTTAAAATAAGCATGTATTGTTTTTAATTTAAAAGGAAATAAAAGTAAATTAGAGTATAAATGCTTTTATTAGCATAGCTACACATTTTTTTTAATGTGAAGTGTTACAATATTTACTCTTACTGGTCCATTAGTCTTATTGACTCTGAGTTAAATGCCCGTAGAATTCAATTTAATACTTTCAATGATTATTCTTTGGAATAATTAAATGAATTTTTAAATACATTTTAAATTTAAAATTAAATACTTAAGATGCAAAAAAGCACTTCCCACTGACTGCCATCATGCCTTATTGACATTTAAGCCTTCATGTTTCATTCAATCCAAACACATTTAATTGTGTCTAAAATGTGATTCTTGTTCACTTATTTCTTAGAGATCACAGCCACCATTGCCCACCCCATAGCTGCATCCTTCACAAAGACCATCCACCACAGACATCTATGATGCATAAAAGCCAAAGCTTATTTTATTCTAAGCCTATTTCACTTTAACCCAGAGGTTTATTGAACATCAATTGTGTCCAAAGCCCTATGCTAGGCCCTGTGGGAAATATAAACACTGGAAAGTAACGTCCTTGCACTGAGCAATTTGCAATATAGTTGGGGAGATCAAAGAGATGCACTAGGAAAGTTAACAATTCAAAAAAATATACTGGTTTTGAACAAGAGCACAGTTTATAAGAGCTCAGAATGGGGAAAGGTTGGCAGGGCCTATACTAATCTAGGAACGTTTAAAAGAGTATATGGGATGAGAACTACAGTCCCTAATATGACATAATGACAGTTTTTAAAATGGCCACAGCAGTATTTCCAATCCCACATGTTCTTCCAAAACCTCACCGATCTCCATCAAGAAGTGGATGCTATTTATCATCCACTTGAACCTAGGCAGGCTTGTGACTGCTCCAACCAATAGAGCACAGCAAAAATAATGCCATGTGAATGATGAGGCTAGCTTATGAAAAAGGATGGAGCTTCTATATGGCTTTCTCCTTGGGGGGAGCCACCATGGGAAAGTCAGCTGATCTGCTCTGAGAAAAACTAGCTCCTGCAGAGCAGCCACAGGAAGAGGCCCACATGGAGAGTCCCACGTGAAGAGGAGGTGAGCCCCCGGCCAACAGTCAACACTAATCCTAATCCTAAACTTAACCCTAACCGTAACCCTAACCCTAACCCTTAAACTTGTGATTGAAGGAGCTCCAGGTGATTCAGCCTGAGGCCCCAGACTCTGTGTACCAGAGACAACTTTGCTCCTGTACCCTGTTCCAATTCTGACCCTAAGATTTGATGAGCATGTCAAATGTTTATTGACACCACTAAAGTCTCAGATAATTCATTACAAAGCCATGAAGGCTGAAACACTGAAAAATCAATAGGGTTGGAAAAGAGGAAGAGGTGGGTGTAGCAGTAGGAATACACTATCCAGCTAGAAAAGATTATTGGTAAACAATCAAGAAATAGATTATAAATTAAGACAGGGGGCCACACACTTTGATGTGTCTTGAGTTAGGTTCACATTATTCTAAAAATTCAGGATTTATTGTGAAGACAATAGACAGTCATGAAGAGTGGGTGCTGAATTAGCAAGGGAAGACTGGGATAGATGCAGTATTTTAGAACGATTAACTTGGGAGAGGTGCAGAGGTGCAGTCAAGAGAAAAGAGAGGCAATTCTCAAGCAATGGTGAGGATGAAGCTTGTGACAAGTTCCACTGCACTGAAATGGCACTGGGAATGGAAGTACCAGAGAAAAATTAATAGGACACAGTGGCTGGTAGTATAAGGAAGGTGACTTTACTCAAAAATGTAATCCTCACTCTTTTATAACTTCTTTTAAAAATAGTTAACATTTGTGCAGATTTCAACATAGTTCTTGATTATATATCCAGTTTGTGTCTGAGGCTAGAGTGTGAGCTCTGTCTCTCTGTGTCTCTCTCTCACACACATATATATGCAAACATGCACTCACAAATTATCATAAAAAATTTAGAGCACTTATTCCTAATTTCAATCAGAAAGACAAGTAAAGTTACTGCTAGTTTTAGGACATTGTAATGAAATCTAAAACACTCTTACTAGAGAATAATGTTCATTGATATTACTAATACTTATGTCTAACTAAACACAGTATGTTTATTTATGAGACACATTTACATTAACATGATAACAGAAATCAATAAAGAGTGCTTCTCAAACCAATATGCAGTTAGAGAATAAGGTGTGGCAGTGCATCACAGCATGAAGGAGACAAGACAAATTTTAATCTTCAAGAAATATAGGCCATATTAACCTGTAAGTGACTATTTCACTCTATATGTAGTTTAACAAAAATCTTGAATCATTATGTAGAAATTTATGTAATTAAACTGTGACTTAATAGATATTTCAATCAGCAGAACTAGAAAATAAGCAGAGATGACAGTAACCAAATTCCCAGGTCATGAAAGCTAAACTTTGATAATCATTGAAATTAATGAAATTATGATAAATACATTAATTAGAATCCAACAAATCAGAACATTTTCCTTTTTAAAAACAGCCACACTATAATGAGGTCATTTAAGACATAATAGTATTCTGGCTAAATTTGGTCAATAAAGACAATTATGTAAAGAGCTTTAGGAAATCATGATAGGATATAATTTTATTACAGTGAATAAAGTAGAGCAGGTTTCAATTAAAGGTATAAAATCCTTGCTTTACTTTATTTTTTTACTCAGAGAGTTTATATTATACTTCAATCTGATGTTATTTTAATGTCTAAAGTCTAACTATTAGTCAAACAATAATAGAACTATTCCTTTACAGTACTATTTTGACATCTTAACAAAATCTTTCTACATCTGGTTTGAATTAACATATTTTTAAGATTTTGCTGTAACTTTTCATTTAAGATCATAAAAATTCCCATTATTTGGTTAGTAACAGGATTTGCCATCATCTGGCCACGGTGTGGGAATGGCCATACCTACCTAGCCAATCAAACAGGCTATACCATGGTGAATCAATTGTTCTAGGTATCCAAATTTTGATATGGATTCAAATAGTCACAATAATTGTGCAATAATTTGCAAGCATCTTAAAGATATGCAAAGCATCACAAAAATTAGAATGTAATTTTTAGAGCTTTTATTTAGAGCTTTTATTTTACTTGCTACTAACTCTATCATGGGGTGATTATATTTGGACACTCCACATTACACATATTTAGACATTTTACTAATACTTTGTCATTATCTGAATATAATAATCTCTCCTAAATATTTATGCTTTCAATGTGTTCTCCAGACAACAGCAGTGGCTAAAATATAGTTTAAGCATTGTTAAATGCTCATCCGAATTCCCTGAGATTATTGGAATTTCAAAATAATGCATATGAGTATATATTTTACAAATAGACTATAAAATTTGTCATTGGTGGATACAAAAGCTAATTTTAAAATATCGTGAGACCTTAAAAATGGACTTTTTAAATGCCCTTCAATGTTTGAATATTGACTCATTTCAACATTTTATACACTTACAATATATCTAACATTATGGCATTAAAAAATGATGCAGAGGCAGTCCATATACATATAATATACAGGCTAGTGGTGGGAAATGTGTGTATGTGTGTGTGTGTACATACCAAAAATACAAAATAATACAAATGCCATGTGATCTGAAGTTCTATGAAGCAGGTAAGGAAGTATTTTTCTTGGCAACCTAAAGTAGAATAATGACAAATATTTAAGCTAACCCTTATCTAGGCCAAATGTAAATAACTCAGGGGCATGTTTTTTAAAGGAGCAAAATATTCATAGAGTTTAATGGAGTAAGACTATGCATAAAGTGTGAAATTATTTAAAAATAGTCATAAAGCACAACTATTCATATATTATATATGCAAATATAATTTCTATGATAAATTATACTCTAGTATACTATAAAAGGAAAGGGTTTAATAAGCCCAAACTTAAAACATAATTGTTTATTAAAATTCTTCTGATAATTATGGAGATATTCTATAGAAATTAATTTTTAAATTCATACCCT